ACTCGGACCACCGGAGGAAGGCAGGTGCGGCCGGTTTCTATTGTATAGACCTCACAGCGCGTGACCTTCTGACAGTGTTTAGAGTCATAGGCCACCGATCCTCTGAAGATCATGAGGCAACCATCCGGTGTTGGAAAGCCATCGTCCTTCTCCTCGGCATCGTCCACGGTGGGGGCAGGGTCCTTTCCATGCTCCCCTTTGTTGGGGCCTTCGGACAAGAACCACCTCATTAGGCTGCAGTCCTTGTATAGATGCTTAACCGGGAAGTCATGGTTCGGGCACGGACCCTCGAGTAGTTTTTTGAAATGGTTCTGAGTGCCCTCCATGGGCTTCCAACCACCCTTGCGGTCAGCAGCGGCCACGAGCGAGTCCTCGCGCCGTTGCTTCTTGTTCTTCCTTTTGGCAAAACAATTGGAGGCGCCTTCGCCGGTGCCGTCGTCCTGCCTTGCCTTGCCCTCGAGATGATCGAAGATCGCTCCAACCGCTTCTTCGCCCGAGGCGTGGCTAGTGGCGATGTCGAGGAGCTCCTTGGTGGTTCATGGGCCCTTGCATCCTAGCTTGTGTACCAGGGACTCGCAGGTGGTCTCGAATAGGAAGGCTCCTATGACGTCGGAATCTACAACGTTAGGTAGCTCGTTGCATTGCTGGGAGAAGCGCTAGATGTACCCATGGAGGGTTTCTCCAGCCTTCTGTCGGTAGTTTTTGAGGTCCCATGGGTTTCTAGGGCGCTTATATGTGCCCTGGAAGTTCCCCACGAAGATCTCCTTTAGATCCGCCCAACTCTGGATTGCGTTGGGCGGCAGGTGTTCCAACCACGCTCGTGCCGAATCGGCTAAGAACAGTGGAAGGTTGTGGATAATGAAGTCATCATTATCCACACCACCGGCTTGGCAGGCAAGCCGATAGTCTTCGAGCCATAGCCCGGGGTTTGTTTCCCCAAAGTACTTCAGGATATTGGTTGGTGGTCGGTACCTCGGTGGGAAAGCAGCGTTGAGGATGTGACGGTAGAAGGCCTGAGGGCCCGGCAGGCCGGGGCTCAAGCTTTGGTCCTCGCCGCTGTCATAGCGTTCGCCATGACGAGGATGATAGCCGTGGCGGGCTCCTTCTCTCGGGTCACCATATGTATGTCTGCGGGCATCGAGGGTCTCGCGTGCATCCTGGTTGCGGCCGAGACGCTGGTGCACCGGGACCGCGATGAGCTGCCTACCGTGTTGCGGCGCCTAGTGGACCGATGCGTCGCTACCAGGACACTCCGAGGGTGTATGATGGTTGGCGTCGAGCTCGCGTCGTCGAGACAACGAGCTCTCAGCCTACTGCACCGCCACACGCTCGAGTAGCATGTGGATCTCATGGTGGGCCCGATGATCCTCGGGCATCGTGGCCTCTGGAAGGCCATGTAGCAAGGCCGCCATGGCAGCAATGTTCTGGCTTGCCCAGGCGAAGCGAGGGCGGGCGTCATCATCTGCGATGATCCTCTGGTTCACATCACGGGCGATGGTGTGGGCGCGCCCAATGTCTCCGTGGCGTTCGATCTCCCAATCGAGCTCCGTGCATTCCAGCTCGAGCTAAAGTCGCATTTCCTCGATTTCTCAGTGTCGGGCTTTTAGCTGCTCCACCCTCATGCGAGGTGGGGCCGCTGTCTCCCCCTCGGCCTCGTTGCCGAGGATGTTCGCTGGGGTAGCCTCCTCCTCGAAGACGCTTTCGACGTGTCCCTCGGGGTACCCGTCATGAAGCATTCCGGGAGGAGTGATGGCTCCGCCTGCTAGAGTCAGAGCTAGAGGGGGACCCCGGCTCCTCTGCGAGGAGGTCATGGAGAGATTCCGTGACATGTTCGATCACTCCCATGAACTCGTTGTTCGCGGGGAATGGGATCATGCGCTGTGCCACAAGGTGGCTAACGGTCCCCGCGGCGTTGTGGAGACCGAACAGAAGCACTATCGGGGCGCTCCGTGCGGGGTGTTCCGGAGAGAAGGTGAGGTGGCGTGGGTCCTCCTTGGATGGCTGGGGTCCAAGGGAGACGCCGAGCTAGCGCTCAAGCCTCCCGTAGTTGAGGCCGATGGAGGGGAGAGGTTGGATGGCGGTGTGAGCCAACGCCAACTCTCCTCCCACCGTGACGATGAAGTCCAGGTCACCGAAGCGCATGTGTGCGCCCGGGACCTAGCTGATTCCGTGGCCTAATGTTAACGTCGGAACACGCAAAGGTCCCCTACCTAGCGCGCCAACTATCGGTGTTTTGAGTAAACACCAAGGAGTAAATTTGTATTTATTGCGCGTTGGGCCCGGATGGTGTGCTAAAAGACACAAGGTTTATACTGGTTTAGGCAGAATGTCCCTACGTCTAGTTTGCGGATGATGCTCGTGTTATTAGCACTGAAAGGTTCGTAGTAGGGGGTACAAATGGGCGAGAGAGGGACAGATCCCAAGTCTCTGATGGAAAGGTCGAACGGGCGCTAAGAGCTTGGATGCTGCTTAGCTATGTGGTGTGATTTGTGAGGAATCGATCCGTCCCTTTAGTGGGGTGCCCTGCCTTTCCTTTTATAGACCAAGGGGGAGTAGGGATTACAGATGGGAGAAAGAAGAAAAACTAGAGGCCAAGAAGGTCCTTCGCGGGTGCCGGGTCTTCCTTTTCCTCTGAGCCAGCCGTGCTGACACGACAGACGGTGCCAGGGATGGCTCCATGCTAGGCGTCTGTCCATTGATGATGCCACGCTCTGACTTGATCAACAAGTGGTCACGTTCCATCCCGCACCGGTGGGCGACGCGACGGACCGGGGTGTTGATCCGCAACCCCACGGGAGCGGACAGCGCAGTGACTGCACGTCTGTCACTGTAGATGATGTGAGTTTCCTCTTGGACCGTAGCGGTTGTCGTATGCTTCCATCAGGATCCGTGCCCGAGGGCAAATGCCGGCGCCCATAACACTGTAAGACAAATGTCGACGCCCACAACACTGTTTGGGCTCTAACATGCCTGGAAGGGCTTAAAGCGCCCGTCTTGTCATATCCTGACGGTACTTTCCTGCAGGCGTGCAGGGCATGGTCCTTGGTATTGCGGTTGACTTGAGTGCCCAGCCTTATCTACGCGCGCAGTTACAAAGGAGCAGCGCACAGACGTCTCCGGACGTCGGGCGTGGCAGAGCCAGCCTCCGAACATCGGGCGAGGCGGAGGCGGCCCGTAGACGTCGGGCGAGGCGGAGCCTGCCCTAGGACGTCGGGCGAGGCAGAGTCTGCCCCCGGACGTTGGGCGAGGCGGAGCCAACCTTCGGGGGTCGGACGAAACGGAGTTAACCCTCGGTCGTTGGGCAAGAGGCATAGTCTGCCCGCAGATGTCCGGCAAGGCGGAGCCTGCCCTAGGACGTCGGGCAAGGCGGAGTCTGCCCCCGGACATCGGGGCGGAGCCTGCCCTCGGACGTCGGGCAAGGCGGAGCCAGCCCCCGGACGTCGGGCGAGGCGGAGTCTGCTCGCAGACGTCGGGCGAGGCGGAGCCAATCTTCGAGGGTCGGACGAGACGGAGTTAACCCTCGGTAGTTGGGCAAGAGGTGTAGTCGGGCTCTTGTCTGTTCGGAATAATCAACGTTTGATGATTATTAGCTCCTCCTCCTTGGGTACCTAGTATTTGGTCCCTGACAATGATCTACTATGATATACATCTTTCTGGCCTTCTAAATATATAGAGAATAGATTAATAACTAAGAATTATGCCTTCATACATAAATTACCGCACATGAATATTAATCAGGACTACATGCTTGCACATCAGAGTCCTCAGATTATCACCCGCAGGCCAAAACATGATGAGGCACCAACACTAGCAGGTGCCCACCAAGGACCTTGGGCGGCCAAACTTGCCACACCCAGTTGATGTACGCCGCCACGCCAGTGCGCCCGGCCATCGTCCTCACCACCTGGCATGCCTACCTCTTAAGGACCCCTCCTTTTTCTATGGTTGCCGGAGTTTGGAGAGAGAGAGAGGTGAAACTCGCCGAAATCCTAACTCGTAGATCTAGGAGGAGGAGGAGGAGAGCCTACCTCGCCGCCGCTGCCACGTGGGGAGAGAGGGAGATGCGTGCACGTGCACATGGGTAAGGGTCGCAGGCGTCGTCGCCTGAACAATCAGCATATCTCAGTCAACTGAGATGTAGGAAGAGTGGAGAAAAAACATCTAGATTAATAAATGATAACACTGCATTAAGATTATACACAGTACATATAAGCCTAGCAACTGTATTAGATAGTGAACAAAGAGAAAAAAGAACGTGCAAATTAATATTGGTATGTAATTCTTTTACTAGTAGTAAAGCATTAACGTGTAATACTTTTATCTTCTAAGACTCTAGCCTGTGCGGTAATGCGGATTCATTAACGGTGCAAGGGTTGAACTGTGACCTATGAAAAAGCTACTGTAACCTATGTTTTGTGACAAAAACTATAAACTATTTGCGTGTAACAACTATAGATCCTAACCTTCTCTCTATCTCCCGCGAAGCAGCCGTAAAACATCCCCTTGTTTTCATCCATTTGGAAAATCAGAAAGTCAAAAGCTAAAAACATATTTAAAATACTATGAAAATATACTACACCAAAGCAGCGGATTGTACAAAAATAATTTCTAGTTCCATCCGTTTGGCTCGTCTTCTGTTTTTTTTTTTCTGCAGAAGTACTTTCAACCAAACACAGCCTAAGCACTAGTGTGAGCGGTATCAATTAGCTCTACGTATCCTGAACGACAACCACTCATTCCGTCCAAACCATGGGTCTTCCAGGTCACTTTCCTTCCTTATAAAAAAAGTGTCATTTTCCTTCCAATGGCAAAAAATAAAGATTGGTCACTATATGGGTTTTATTTTTTGTGGACGGTTGATCGCTATGTTGACTTCAGCGTTCCACCAACAATAACAAGAGGACTGGGTCCAACGAGCTCGGCCACACATCACATTTACATGTTTTTCCTGCTGGAAGACTTGTACTAGATCGCTTCTCCTGCTATAGAAATCTACAACAATGGCAGATGCCATCATCTCGGCCATCATCGGTGATGTGGTCAGTAGAGCGGTTTCTCTTCTCATTGGGAGTTTCAGTAACCAGGAGAGCACTGAAGACAAGCTGCAAAGACTGAGGCATCTGCTCATCAGAATCCACAGCGTGGTAGAGGAAGCAAAAGGGCGACAGATCTCCAACCACGGCACCCTCCAGTGGCTCTCGGAGCTCATCGACGGCGAGTACCTGGGCAGCTATTTGCTCGATTCCGTCGGGTGCGGCGGTTGCCAGCAGGAAGTTGACAGAGACGATGATGATGATAAGGTACTTCCCCAAGTTTCAACCTTGTCCTTGTTTAATCCAGCAAAGCGTGTGAGGGTTGCGGCTGGCCGCACCATGAGGCTGCACCACAATGATATAGATATCAGTGTTGATGAGATTGAGAGGGTGCTCCAGAGACTGCAGGGCATGTCTCATGATCTCAGGGAGTTCATCCTGCTCTTGCATGACTGCAAGCCCATCCGCCGCCCTCTACCCACTAGCATCTTCCGGGACGGGCAGATGTTTGGTCGACATGTCGAGAAACAGAGGATCATCAACTTTCTGCTGCACGAGGATGATGATCAGGCAACTGCAGAATTGAGTGTGCTACCTATTGTTGGTGGCAGTGGAGTTGGGAAGACAACCCTTGTGCAGTACGCGTGCGATGACGCAAGAGTGCGTAGCCACTTCCCGGTGATCATACTGTCCAGTTTTTCATGTACTTATGATGTTAAAAAGAACGAAGGAACTTTTTCAGATGACCCACTAGAGTTGGTCAATGGTAATACTTTTCGTGACAAGCACAAGAGGTGCCTGGTGATATTTGAGGACGTGGACATGCACAAGAAGCAGATGCTGGAGGAGTTCTTGCAAAGATCAAGATGTCGCAAGGTGGGGATAATCAAGATGATCATCACGACAAACAATCGGCATGTCGCAAGCATCATCGGGACGGTGGAGCCAATCATGCTAAGGGCGCTGCCCTGCCCTGAGTACTGGTTCTTCTTCAAGGCCCACGCGTTCGCTGGAAGGGACGTCGAGGATGACCCGAGGCTGATCTCCGCGGGGAAAGCGGTAGCGAGGAAGCTGAACGGGTCATTCTTTGGCGCCAAGATCATTGGAGGGGTCCTCAGGGATCGCCCGGATCCCAGGGTCTGGTGCAAGGTCCTGAGGAGCAGCATCGGAGGGATGTCTCCCCTTGGTGACGGCATCAGTTACATCTCGGACTTGGCTGAAAACTTGCTGCCCGGCCATGTGGACATGTGCAAGGTGACGCTCTCGAAGGACCCCTCCTTACCGTCTCAGACGACACAGCAGTTGGCTATGTTCAAGGATCTCCATGGTGCTGTTCCTCATGACAGCATGTTGGCCTGCTGGGCAGATGACGTCCGGTTTGCCAAAGTGTTGTTGTGCACGTCGGTTCTGCCGTTCTTTAATCATTACTATATTGCTCGTTGCTCTTGCACTTGCACCGGAGGACCAGAAAATCGTTGTTCAAAGCTTGTATTATCTCATGCTTGAGATTTGTCAATTTAGTGGACTTTTATTTTTCGAACCAGTGTGGCTTCATTTCTGTATCCAGTTGTTGACGTCGGATATGATCCGAATCACACACCAACAGGGCTAGCATTCCCAGGGGTTGCAAATCAACCCACAACCAGCTAGAACGTGAGTGAACCGATGAAGCCGATCTAGAGACCGGTTAGGCCGATTTTGGGCTCGTTCCTTGCGTAGAAAACTCCCGAACAAAAAGAGTTTGAGTCGGACTGTAACAGTCAAACCGGCCAGACCGGTTTTCACGAGCTCAAAACAGGCCATCTAGCTGGGGACGTAGACACTCCGGCCTAGCCGGAGTATACAGACAGGGTCACAGGGAGAGCGGCCTGGCCGGCTGACCGATCAGCTAGGCCGATCCAGCTGGTGGCGTGCAGCAGCAGTAGCAGGGAACAAGGGGCCAGCAGCCTTGTCGGCCAAGCAGCAGCACGGCAGCAGGCTTTGGGCTTGCCCAACAGCTAGCCTAGCCGGCAAGGAGTGCACGGCAATAGGCAACCAACTAGCCTAGCTGGTGAGGCACATGAACCAACCGGCCTGGCTGGTTTCCCAACCGGCCAGTCCGACTTAACAGGAATCGTTGCTAATTTCCTGCTTTTTCTCTCATACTACCGCTCCTTGTTCATACAAATAAATCACCAAATCTTGTATCCAACCTTCTGGGCCACCAATATATTTATGGTGAAATTCATATAAGTTTAGATCAAATTTATAGGGAGTTCAAACAGGTTCTATCTTTCAAGAAATTGAATCACATATCAAATTATATCCAACCTTCTAACTCAATCGGTCGGTCTTAATTCTGTATCCAGTCTAAGAAAGAACACGACCTGTAATAACTAGAATGGTTAGTCGATAAGCTTGTACACATACCAACCACGTAACAAACCCATGCCTGGTCCTGTCAATTTAGGGGCCTGGAGCGAAGCTAGAAAGATGGGCCCTTTAATGTAACTCTAATAATATAATGATATTTCTAATAAGTGTAATGCAAACAAAAAAAACATTCTTATCAAACAAGTTATATATCTTACCTTAAAATTTTCTTCTAACATTTACTGACGCGAAGTCATTGATGATGGCATCAATATCCTACCCATTTGTCTGCTTAATGTGAGTTTTAAAATCTTTACTAAGTGGCTACTAACCACTTCAACTCGGTGGCTGATCATGTAATAAGCCCAACTCAATTAGCTTTCATTCGAGGACGCAATATCCTTGACGGAGTTGTTATCATTCATGAGACAATACATGGACTTCACCGGAAGAAACTTAATGGGATCACTACTGCAAAAATTCACAGTAGAGGCGGCTGGAAAGCCTCTATACAGGCGGTTATGCCAGCCGCCTTTACAAATCGCGATTTGTAGAGACGGATGTCCAGCCGCCTCTAGTAATGGTACTTGTAGAGCCGCCTCTACAAATCTATTTCCAGAAGCGGCTGTAATCCAGAGGAGCCTCTGCAAATACCTTTTACAGAGGCGGCTGTTGTTTCACAGTCACCTCTATTGTTCATTTGTGGCATACCACTAATATGTTCCTCTCATTCCAGAAACTTGATCCATTCCAAAACATACACACATCCAAATGATAAACATACACATAACTACTAGTTAATAGATGGCATGATAGCCATCTAGAAGTTCTAGATTAATAGTTAATTATAGCTGCCATCTATACAAGGCTTAAGTTCCAAGCATGCATCCTTCCTCATGCATGCTGCCACTTCCAAGTACCAAGTTTTTGACATCTCCACAGCCACCGCTACTACGTCATCATGCACATCCACCACTACATCATCATCATGCACAAGTACCACTACTTGCAGCCACCACTGTACATCCAAAAGAACTAACACTAGCTTCCAAAAGAACCAACACTAGCTAGCTAGTGTACCACGTACTTCATTTCTTGCGAGTGGCCTTCTTGAGTTTCTTGTCTGCCTCCCAATCATCAATGGACCCCATGAGCCATTTAGTTTGGATTTTGATGTTTGATAACCAACATGACCATTTGGACTAACATTATTTGCTAGTGTTTTTGGATATAGTTCAAAGGGTGCAAAAGTGGACTTGGACTTAGGCAACGGTGTGATCCGGATGATCAACACCTCAAGCAGGACATCAGAAGCAATGTTGAAGACCTAAAAGACAAGCAAAAGTCCAAGACACAAGATGGAACCAAGCCAGACATCAAGATCGCAAAGAGACAAATTGAAAAAAGGGCTTCAATGGGCATCAGACCGAGGCATTGGACCCTGAGGGCATTGGACCCAGAAGGCGTCCGACCAACAGAGGAGCAAACCCTAGGCAGACGACTGTGGCAGCATCGAACCGAGCGTCGGACCGAGGGAAGCAAGGAATCGGACCAAGCCGTCCCACCATTCACCCATGACAGAGCAAAGGACCGAGCCAACAGTGAAGCTTCAGACCAATGGCGACAACGTCCGATGACTTCTAGAAAGGTTCCAGAGAGGATTTTGGGCATTGGACTAGTCCGATGCGTGGCATCGGACCATACGCTACGCTAGAGCCCTAATGGTCGACAAACGTCTAGTTCAATGCCTAGTTTGTAAAAGTGGCATTGGATGCTTCGACGACCAGCATCGGATAGTCTGATGAGTGCATAGATGTTGTGTACTTTTTCCCAATGGCTAGTTTTTTGGGGAGGCTATTTATACCCCATGGTCAGCCATTTTGAGGTTGTTGGAGTGTGCTGAAGATATAGGAGTGTTGAGATACTTCACCAAGTGCTTCAACCACCACAAGTGCTTAAGGGAAGATTAAGTGATTAGTGTAGGTGCTTTGTGAAGTGCTTAGGCTAGTTAGACCCGCTTCATCGCGCTTGCTCTAGGTTTAGGCCTAGTGTTTAGTGAGGTTTGCATACCTTAGAAAGTAAGGTGCTTGCGCGCACCATGTTTGTACTCAGAGAGGCTTGTAGTCTTGCGAGATCACACCAACCACGTTTATGGTGTGGCCACCATCATGTACAGGAGGGAACGAGGCCCACGGTGTTTTGGCCGGAAGCTCGATAGTGAAGACGGCGGGGAGCGGTCTAGGACAGGCTATTCCGGAGACCCACTTTCGCGTGGGGAAGGCCTGGGGCTATCCACGGAGTTACTCGACCGGAAGCTTAGCCCTTGCGAGGGCTTCCTTGCGAGGTGTCCAACAAGGACTAGGGGGAAGCTTGCGGGCTTCTTGATATCTCTGTAAAAATACTAGCGTCGGCGAACGGGAGTTTGCATCTCTATCGCCCTTTACCTTCCGCATTTACATTGTGTACCTTGGTTGTGTGCTTTATCTTCCTAGCTTAGGTGATAGCCTAGTTGATAGGATTCGAACCTAGGTTGCATAACTCTTTTGCGATAGAGATAGCAACACACCTAGCAAAACCTTAGTTGCACATTAGATAGTTTATTTATTGCAAAGGTTTTGACTAGGTTGTTTTAGAGGCCATAGTTAGAAATATCTTTTAAGTTGCCTAATTCACCCTCCTCTTAGGCGACATGGTTCCTACGACCACCGATGTGATTGGTGCTTCATCTCTTGGTAGTGCTGGTCGAAGAGGTCATCGACATCGCCCTTGGCCAGCATGATCCTCCAGCGGACGTCGCGCAAGTGATCATCGATGTCATCATCCTCTTTGGAGTTTGACTCTTCGGACTCCTTATTAGACTCAGGCTCTTTAGCAGACTCCTCAACAGACACCTCATTAGACTCATCAGCAGGTACCTTCATCAAAGTACAGTTAAGTCATAGCTAGTTATCGTCAAATTTGAGTGAAGTCATAGCAAGTTATCATCAAATATCAGCTAAGTCTTAGCAAGTTATCATCAAATATTAGTTAACTCTTAGCAAGTTATCATCTTATATCAGTTCAGGCATAGCTAGGTATCATCAAATAACAGTTAAGGCATAGCTAGTTATCATCAAATAACAGTTAAGTCATAGCTAGGTATCATCAAATAATAGTTAAGGCATAGCTAGTTATCATCAAATAATAGTTAAGGCATACCTAGTTATCATCAAATAGCAGTTAAGTCATAGCTAGGTATCATCCAATAATAGTTAAGGCATAGATAGTTATCATCAAATAATAGTTAAGGCATAGCTAGTTATCAGCAAACAACAATTAAGTCATGGCTAGGTATCATCAAATAACAGTTAAGTCATACCAAGTTATCATCAAAGTATAGTTTAGTTATATCTAGTTATCATCAAATTTCAGTTTAGTCATAATAAGTTATCATCAAATTTTAGTTAAGAAAATAGCAGGTTATCATCAAGTTTCAGTTAAGTCATACCTAGTTATCATCAAATTTTAGTTTGGTCATACCAAGTTATCATCAAAGTGCAGTTTAGTCATACCTAGTTATCATCAAATTTTAGTTTAGTCATAGTAAGTTATCATCAGATTTTAGTTAAGTAATAGCAAGTTATCATCAAGTTGTAATTAAGTCATACCTAGTTATCATCAAATTTCAGTTTAGTCATACCAAGTTATCATCAAAACACAGTTTAGTCATACCTGGTTATCATCAAATTTCAGTTTAATCATAGTAAGCTATCATCAAATTTCATATTAGTAATAGCAAGTTATCATCAAGTTGCTTGTGGCCTCAGATAAATTAAGCAGGACAACTTGAAAAAGGAATCATAGGTGGAACTAGTCACAAAATCATAATTAATACAAAAAAGGGGAAGAAATGATACTTAGCAAGTTATAGAAAGTTATCATCAAATTTCAGTTAAGTCATAGCAAGTTTTTGGGAAGAGTCGACTTAAGAGGAGAACATGCTCAATATGAGAAGGGGAGAACAAGACAACTAGTGCCACTTCATCCATACGAATATATCATCATAGACCAAAGGATTAAATGCAGAAGAACAACACCATCAAGTTTTCATCAAATTGCAGTCAAGTCATACCAAGTTATCATCAAAGTACAATTAAGCAATAGCAAGTCATCAT